CATCTTCTTGAATCAATAATCAATTTTCAAAACAAATCAAAGAATGATTTCAAAAATCATCTAGATATTGCAAAAACATATATATAACTATATTTCAACATAACCATTTTTTTTATGCCAAGCTATTTAAAGAGGTAATATTTTTACCAAATTCTCTACCAATAATAAATTTACAACTTTTTCTAAGATTATTTAACCAACATGATATTTACATCAAAAATTATGAAATATGCCCAATAGTAACATTTTCAAGATTTTGAGTTCGAAAGTCCATATTTCACATTTTTATTTTCATAAAAATGAATACAACTTAATCATCAACATATCATCTTTTATTAAATATCATGAATATAACACTTTTAGAGTTTTTAATCCCAAAATAACTCTATAATTTCTACTTAAGCATTTACTCCATATTCCTCAACATTAATTTATTTTTCTCAAAAATAAATTCCAAATCAAAGATTAAAAAAAAAAATTCAATTTTATATTTCTCAAAATTAATCATCTAATCATAACATGATATAAATACAATCATACAACTATTAAATTTTATTTTCGGATTTCTTCGCAAAATTATCAACACAAAATGATTTTTCCAAATCAATCTCAAAATGTCAACATTCTTAACATTTCAACATAATTTTTCTTCCAAAAATTACCAAACAAAAATCTGAATATATATATATATATATACACAATACCTCTTATAATGAAATATTTTCTCAAAATAAACCTAACATGGCTTTAATGTAAAAATATGAAGAAAGCCCTTACCTCAAATATGAAGAAAAGCTAATCCGAAAATGCAAACATCACCCGATCATAGATCCGAGATCGCTATTGCGAAGATCACGACGAGCTCTCCGACTTTTATGTACAACACTTTGGCAAAATCTCACTCTAAAGACTCTCATTTCAAGCTCAAAATTGAGCATCAACGGAGAATAAGAGAGAGAGAGAGAGAGAGAGAGATGAGCTCTCTGCCAATTCAAACAAAGCTAATGAAAAAAAAATGTAGGGAATGAAAAGAAAAGGTAGGGAAAAGAAAGATGGGACAATGGAGAAAGAGAGAGGTAGGGGACAACCCCAAGTGGGTTCGTTTCTCAAAATCTGGTTTTTCCAAAAGAAAAATATAATTTTTGTAATAATACCTCAAAATTTTATAATATAATTTAGAAAATGATATAATTTTTCTAATCACAAAATATAATATTTTTGTACACCACAAAAGATAATATTTTGCTTACTACGAAATATACACATTTTCATTCCTTATAAAATATATAATTTTTCACCATATGATACACACCATAAAATTAACTATCAAATATTTATTATAATCCTATCTAATAAATAATAACAACTCCCAAGGTGATTATTACCAATCACATAATTGAAAAGGAACCAAACAGTTAAATATGAGTCATTAAACAAACTCAAATTAAATTAAATTTAAATCATAGATCTCACCCATAAGTCAAACATGGTCCAATTATGTATCAAAATAGACCCAACAAATTTATCTCAAATCATGGTCCAAACACCCAAAACTCAAATTTCAAATTCTGTTATAAATTAAACTGAACACCAATCAGTCCGTGAATTTTTATAAAATAAATACTTATCATTTAATTATGAAATTTTTATCCAAGGTGCTAAACTCATACGGGAACAACATATAGAAATTTCATAATTTTTTGAAATTGAAAACTATTTTTAAAAAATACAAAATCAAATTATTTTTGTGCAGAATTTATACAGCAATCAACGAAAAATCACGCTTATTAGGGGCTAGGGAAATGAGTTGGATTTTTGTGAAATGAAGCTTTCAGATACATATGAATGCTCTGCATTGTGGTGGGTTTGAGCAGGGCATTGAAGTAAATGATGGGTTTAGGAAACATGCCAAGAATGATGAGCACGTGGCCTACTTGCACCGTAATAAAAAAAAAATAATGCTAGAGATCTTAAATATTCTATTAAAAATTTTATTAAATGTCTCACATGGGTGTGGGACCCACACAATGTAGGTCCCATATGAATCCCACACCCATGTGAGACATTTGATAGAACTTTTGGTAGAATTTTTTGAGCCTCTAACATTTTTGTAAAAAAAAATGTCCCATTGGATGCTTTTGCTCCCATCACTTGTCTTTAATAGTGCATTGTTTTCATTGGCGGGTCGAAGCCAATCCACCCCCTTAATAAACAAATAATTTATCGACATATCTGTAGGAGTCTTTATTGACCAGATGAGAGGTTTCTAATAAATTATTTATAAATACGACAAAATGAAGGAAAAAAATTTTGAGTCATTACAGAACACATGTAATACAATACAAAAAATGATTACCTTATCTATTTTACTTACTCAATTTTATTTATTCATTTTAATTATCAAATCATTCTTTAATCCATTTAGTCCATTAATGAGTGTCCTCTAATAGAAAAATGGCTCAAATCACAAGGTAATTTGGGCATGAAAGAGGCATTGCACTGTTGGTAATGAACCTCCTAAGGAATTAAATCATTAAGTGCAATACCTCAATTTCACACTTTGACAAATAAGTGGTTGAAAACCACTTTCAAAGCAAACAAAAGAGTGGAGAATTGAGAGAGATTGCAGAGATTTTAAATGCTGAAATGAAGTGTAAAACAATACTAAAACATGCTATTAACTCAAAATAATGATGGTTAAAGAATTAAAACATCAAGCTAGTGAAAGAAATTATACTACAACTATGCAAAACAAGCCTCAACTAAACTAACCAACCCAAAACAGAGCCAAAACAAGTTATTTTAGAGGCAAAAATATACTGGACTTAAGCTAAATTAAGTTAGAAAAGCATGCTAACATGTGAAGCTATCTAGGCATACAAACAAAACACAAGAAGGGGAAGCTAATCCCTCCAATTTTGGACTTCAAAACAGGGTTTTTACTATTGAAAAACCTCTGAAATTTAGTGGTTAAAAGGCCCAAAAAAGTTGGTTCAAAAGTGATGAAAATGAGCACAAAAAGCTTAACAAGCTAAAAAGCAAAAAGGGTGAAACACCCCTTAACTAAAAAGAGCCCAAACCACCACTTTTAGTCACAAAAACAGAGGTTTTAACACTTCAAAACCAGCCTTAAAACAGTTAAAAAGGATGGCAAAACAAGTAACCAAAAGCAAGTACAAATAAGGTAAGTTCAATACCTTTGAAGCAAAGAGCAAAATACGCACAAATCTGAGCTTAAACCACCTTCTAGAGCTCAAACAAGACTCCAAGTAATCTCTGCCCAAATATGAGAGTATTTGGTTAAGGGTTGATATGCAAAAACTAAGGACTTGTGAACAAATGTGTGCAAAATAACAAGAGAGAGAGAGACAGAGAGAGAGAGAGAATTCTAGAGAGAGAGAGAAATATTTTTACTATAATTTTTCTAACCTTTTAAAATGGAGGAGGAACCCTCCTATTTAGAGAAAAACACCCCTTGAACTTAGATACATCTCACCATACACGTGTATGAAGATGCAGCTCAGTGTGCAACAACTGGCACAGCTGTCAATAAATATCTGGAAAAAGGCACTGGTGGCCGTCGACCACCACTGATAGCCATCCGGCCACCACTAGTGGCCGACAAAAACACCCCATGGCCGACAGCCTTGGGCGGTGGCCGACAGGTCACCAAGAGGTCCAGACACCAATTTTTAGTCCAAAACAAGGCACAGAAAGGAGAAGGTCCAAAGGCTCAAAGACAAGGTGTTCCGCCGAGGACTTCGGGCGCTTAAAACAAACACAAACATACAATCATCGAGTGCACGAGCGATGACGTCTAAGTCTTGAGGACGATCAAAAATGGGATATCTATACTAACATACTGAAAAACTCATTAGTGTATTTTTCTAAAATGAAATAACGTGACATTCCAAAAAAAAAAATCTTAATATATTTTTTCCAAACGCAACACTCTAATCAATGTAACACACTAAAAAATTCTTTAGTGGATTTTTTCCAAACGTAAGACACTAAAAAACTCTTTAATGTACTTTTCTCAAAATGTAACAACATAACATTTCAAAAAAAAAAACTCCTTAATGTATTTTTTCCAAACATAACACTCCAATCAATGCATTCTAATATAATACTCTAATGTAACACCAGAAAATCACATTAACAGAAATGTAAATTTTCATGATCGACAACCAACACTTCAGCCACCAATCCTCCCAAAAAGAATTTTTCATACATTACCTTTCCATTCCCATCCCAAAAAATGAATCAAAAAATTAGAAACATGAATCACAAAAAGACATTCAGTTAAACGCAAATAGCACCTAATCAAATAATTACAACTTTTCAAAACAAAAAAGATTGGTTCATAAAAAAAAATTTAGTACTAAATAGATCAACATTCTACCATATGAGATTTACGGATAAATTTTCCTTTATAAAACTACACAAAAATTGTCGTTATATAAAGTTTTATTTTATTATTTTTATAAAATTAGAACAAAATTATCTTTTCACTTTCAAATTTTGTAATCTCAACTCAACCGTCGTAGAAATACTAATCCAACACACCATGAGGCTAAACAAACATGACCAGCCTTAGGAGATGATACAAAGCAAACCTTGTGCATGCACCACATGTTATTCGTGGCTTGCATGTTAGTCCAAGGAGCAAGGATCCTCTACAATTTTTTTTTCTTAAAGTTTCTTAGAGTGGTGCATTGTGTGGTTGAGATTTAATGACAAGTCACATCAATTTTTCAACATTAAATCTCAACCACACAATATATCACTTTAGGAAATTTTAGGAAAAAAATACTCTAGAGAATCCTTAGTGACCGCCATAAGGGTGTTAGTTAAGAATACAATTTTTACCATTAAAAATATAATCTAACCACTAAAAATATATTCAAAATCTATGAACTTATAACTTAATGTGACGATTATTTGTTAAATCTTACCAGTAAAATAATACCCCTTTTACATGTTTGGTTCATTTTTCAACCTTAACCAACACCCTAAAGGCGGTGGTTTGCATTCTCACAATAAGAATTTTATAGGCAAGTCTCATCACAAAAGACATAAAAGCATTTGTCAAAAATTTAATATAACTCAATTTCCTATTTTACATATAATTTCTACACTACTTTGTTTTATGTGTGCACGGGTCTCATACCATGTTTTGTGCATCACTAGAACAAAAAAACTGCCATTTCAACTAATTACTTTCATGGTATTGAAGCATCTCTAAGACCTGGGTCATGCTTGGCCTTGCATCTTTGTCTTCCTCCACACATTTTAATGCCACTGCAACAAGTATTTGCATCTTAGGCACATCATATTTGCCACTTATCACAGGATCTACAATTTCTTCAATCCTAGACTCCATTGCTGCACCTGTACTCACCTTCTCTCTCACCCATTGAATCAACCTCCTCTGCTCCATCTCACCAGCTGATGTTGGACTCTTTCCAGTCACCATCTCCAACATCACTACTCCGTAGCTATAAACATCGACTTTCGAGGTAATGGGTAGATTAAAAATCCACTCTGGAGCCATGTAACCTCTCGTTCCTCTTATCTTCGAAAAGCTCGAATCATTACCACCACTACTACTACTACCACCACCACTTCTATTCAGTAGTTTGGAAAGTCCGAAATCTGCAACCTTTGGCTGGTAATTGGAGTCCAGCAATATATTTTGAGGCTTTATATCGCAGTGTAGAACCCATTCCAAGCACTCTTCATGTAAGTAAGCAAGGCCTTTTGCAGTACCCACAGCAATCTGAAACCTAGTGTCCCAATCAAGTGTTTTGGAGTTCAAGTTATCTGACAAGGACCCGTTCGCCATGTACTCGTAAACCAAAAGCTTGTGCTTTCCCTCGGCACAGTATCCCCAAATCTCTATCAAGTTCATGTGGTTAAGCCTGCCGATGGTGCTTACCTCCGCTAGGAACTCTGCCTCTCCTTGATTAGCTTCTCTGAGTCGCTTGATTGCCGCCACTCGACAATCTGGCAATTCCCCTTTGTACACCACCCCACCACCTCCTCTTCCCACCTCATCACGAAAACCCCTCGCCGCCTCCTTTAGCTCATTATAAGTGAATCTTTTGAATCCGGTCGCAACAGGTATGTACCCACCACCCATGTCTGGATGGGTTCCATTTCTATTCAAGAAACACCAGACCAGACAAATGGTGATCACCTCAAAACATCCAACCGCAGCGGCAAACCAAACCAAGAAAGTCAGCAACCCATTTTCGTGCCGTCTTTCATAAACTCTGTCAAGCTGCTGCACCATATTAGCAGTCCCTGAGCAATCTAACTTATTCAAGAAGTCCTTGTTTAAAGGTGTTTGAGGCACTTTCACAAACAGGTCTTCTGCAAGACTCGGAGACCAGTGTCCGTTGCGAAGCACCCATTTGGGGTTACAATCATAAACACCACTGCTCTGGTTAAACCGGTGGCGGAACCCTTTGCAATCGCACGAGTCCAAGCACGTCTTCATGCATCTCCGCAACGTGTAGTTTAGCAAAATTTGGATGTCATAGCCATAGGAATCAGCATTTGGGACCTTCAAAAAGGTGAAATTCTCCTCACTTTGATTGCAGGAAAGGTTGAATTCAGGTTCGCATCCACGAGACCAGTCAGTAGGATATCTGATTCTGAACCCAGGTAAACACGAGCATTCTCGTCCAAACCCAGCACTATATCTACACATACCATTGAGTCCACAAGCACCATGAATTCTACACGCTTTCGACTTGGCCTGCCACGATACAACCCAATCCCCAGTCTCTTCTTTCAAACTATACAATCGAAGATTACCATCAAAATCCAGAACCAATCTTCTCTGAGGCCCTGCACCATAATCAGCAGCTCGAAACTCCAACTTATCCGATGATAGAAAATGACCCAACAAATCAAATTCCGCAATTCTCGTGTCATTGTACCTTGATCTTCCATCGTTCTCAGCAGATAGCCATGGGTCTGGCCAGTAAATGCTAGAAGTCTCAGGACCGTCAAAGACTAGACGGAGGACATTGTCGTCGTCGAAGAAGAGCTTGTAGAGGCCGGAGGAGTAGTTAGTCCGGCTTCTGGACGAAACGAGTTGGGTATGTCTGGTTAGAGGTTGTTGGGGAAGAAGGGTATTGGTGGGTGAGTCGAAGCTCTGCCATAAGAGAACATTGTCTGAAGTTCTGAGAATGAGGTTTCCATTGTCAAGCAAGAGTAGCTGCACTGAGGAGAGTGAAGCAGTGTTGGTGGCCCAGAGAATTGACTGGTCTGCGTCGGTTAAGATGAGATTGCCATTTTTGAGGAGGGAGAGCCTTGAGAGTCTGCCATTGATGGGTTGGTTTCGGTTGGCTAGCCAAACTAGAGTGTGGTTTCCATGGGAGGAGGGTTTGGTGAACCAGATTGCAAAGCCATAAGCGTTTTCTCCGAGGGGGTAAAAGCCAGAGGAGAAGAGGTTGTTTGGTGAAATCAAAACGTGGGTTGGGTTCTCGACTGAGAGAGATGAACCTTTGCTTAAACTAGAGAGAGTTGCAGAAGAAGATGATGATGAAAATGGTAAGGAAGATAGGACGAAGACATGAAGAAGAAGAAGAAATGAAGTAGCCATGGAAAATTATTGTTTATGAATAGGTGTTGAGAAAAGTTGGCAATGGGAACAAAATAACATGGCATTTTAATATTCGCTATCTGGAAGAGTAGATCGAATCTAACAAAGCACTTTTGATCTTGGGTGACCTTTCTTGAGTCAATGTGAAAACACAGAAAGAATAGACTCTAATGGACAACTTTTCAATTATTTGTTTGTTAGAACCATGAAAGTCCCTTGTTTGGGAGAAAAAAAATAATAAATAAATGAAATGGCGTAAATAAGAGATCAACTGAGTAAGAAGGGTAATGGTATGGATACATGCAGCGCTTGTGCCTTTTAAAGCGTTTGGTAAATGTATTTTGACCTTTTATTTTATTGTGGGAGTCTTTGGTGTTGTTGTACTTAGTTTTGGAAGAGTATAAATTGATTTAAACTTGTTGGGTTTAATTGTTCGCACTAATTTTTGTCAAAAGTTCCTTAGAGACTTAGAAATTCCATTCTAGGGTCGACATCAGTCTTCCTAGGGTCGACCCTTACCTGTTGATGAAGTTTTGGAGGTGCTGTTGGAAGATAAGGTAGACACCAAACTGGGAGAGGGTCGACCCTCTTATGTTTGTGTGTTGGTGGCTGGGAGATAGGATCGACCCCCTCCTGTCTTAGGGTCAACATCTGCAGTGCAGTCAAACATAGTGTTCCCAATTTTTTTTTCCTCTTTGGTGTCGACACCTCTGTTGCAGGGGTCAACACCTGCAACTTTTTTCATATTTTTTTTGTCAATTTGGGCCTACTTTTTTGGGATATTTTGACTAAATATTTTGGGTTGCTTTGGGGCCTATTACTATTTTTGACCTAATACTATAAATAGGTCCTCATTTAACCTTTTCCTTTACTTTTTATTCTCTTTCCTCCCTCTAAACCGTGAAACACTCTCTCTCTCTCTCTCTCAAAAAGACACTTTTCACTCATATATCCTTAGATCTACTTGGTTAAAGGCCTCTTCTCACCTTGCCCCTTTGAGATAAAGTGTAGAGCTTGTCGAGGGCTTCATTTTGATCGGAACAAAGCTTGGTTTCTCCTTCGTCGACTTTTGGGTTTTTCTTCCTTCTTCCTCTTCTAAGCTTGAGGTAGGGATATTCTACTCTCTTATATGGGTTTTAACATAAATATTGTCATCTTGTATAGATGGTATGACTTTAGAAGGTTTTTGGTAAATTTTTGGTTGGTTCCTATGTATATAAAAGAGGGGTTTTCTATTTGAGTCCTTTATGAGCATGAGGGGTCTTGAATATGTTAAGGTTTGAGAAGAATTTATGAAATTTGGTCTTCAGTATAATATTTGATAAAGGGGAAGGTTTGTCCTAAATTGATTAAATAAGTTATGTGTATAAATAACAAGATTGGCTTGGAAATTTTGGAATTGAAGGAACATGTGATTAAATGGTGTGGTTGGATTTATAAATTACTCACCTTTGGAAAAGTTGATAAATTATCTATTGTTAAATTCATTTATCTGCTTAGAAATATCTGCTTTGGACTATCGGTGGAGGATAGCCATGATTGTTGTAGAAATTGCATGATGATTAGGTGAATTGAAACTAATCAATTGGATTATGTCATTGAATATGACGATTGGATTTAAACATTGAATACGTGATTAATTGGTCATTGTATATGACAACGTGTTTGAATACATTGTATATGTATCTTGTTTGGGAGGAGATAGGAGATGTACTCCATTATTTGAGAGGAGAAAGGGGATGGACTCCATTGATAACTAAGTTGGCCGGAGTGTCCAGTGTGAAAGTCTCGAAATCTTATATATATTTGGGTGCCGGTTCCCTCGGACGTAGTTCCGTAAAATAGCAAAAAAATGGAAGTGTATGAATAAAGGTATATGATTGAAGTATTAATAAATGTGTTGTAGTCTCATTTGGAATTGTTTAGATGATGATGAACTATGTTCATGAATTGGTTTGAATAGGTAACTGTAAGTGAATGGAAGTATGAAATTCAGTGTTGATTGGTAATGGAAAATGTGTAAATTGGTTTTTAAGTGTTAAACATTTATCGGATACTAATGTTTTAGTTAATTTCCATATACTGTTTAGCATATCTCTACTGGGCTTTGACTCACCTACTTGGGACACCATTTTTCAAGTATAGGAGACATGCCACCTCTAAAGACATAGCTTGAGAGGTTTAGGGGTTAAAGACTCCATTTTGTATTTTTTATTTGGTGTTAAATGTAAAACTTCAAAAAGGGCTTTATATGTAAAAGAGTTAGAACTCTTCTTTTGTTGTAACTAAATGTTAACTTGGAAAGTTGTAAGCCTTTTGGGCACTCATTTTTTGTTGATAAAAACTAGAGTTACATGCTATAGTTTTAAGATTGATGTTTATGAAAATGTAATGCATGTAATATCTTTTGTAAATAAGACTCTGATGAATAGAAATATGGTATTTCTCCTATGAATATGGATTTTATGAATGATTAATCTATCTTATATTTTGAGGGCATTACAATACAAGATTTTCTACTAAATAAATAACTAAATATCTCATATGAGTGTGAAGCCCACTTTTTTTGTGATCATGTGAGATATTTGAGACAGAAAATGTAAGACTTATAGCATTTTCCAAGTAAGAATAGTCTGCTCAAAAATACAAAGTAAGAATATAAACTAATCCCAAGAGATGATCTCATGTTGAAATTCTAAGGGAGTACGATCCCAATAAAAATAACATGACTTGTATAATTGTGAATGAAGTAGCCGACGTAACGGAAATGATAGCAATTGAATTTTCAAGTCTATCCCCATAAAGCCAAAGTCCGACTTTGGTTGCAATGCATTTGAGGCAAGTGACAGATTTTATAAACATGTGGCAGCTACGATTAATCTAATTAATCTTCTTGTCAAGGCACAAGATCCTCTACATTCAAAATTTCAATTTCTTTGTAAATTAAGGCATTGTTTGGGAATTAAACATTTTAGTTAAACAGTAAAAAAAATCACTATAAATTATCACATAACGCTCTCTATTTTTCTATACATCTTTTCATAAGAACTTAAAAAAATTATTAAAGTAACATATTCCCAAACAAACAATGCCTTAAATAAATAAATAAACTGAAAACTGAGTGAGTTCTAATGGTTTGGTTTGTATCATTCACAAATTTTCAATTCGAATTTTAGGATATTAAAAGGCTTGGAAGATGCAACAGTAAATCCCCTGGGAAACCTATTATTTCCTCATGCACCACATGTTAGGGCCTATCTTTCATGTTAGTCAAAGTGGTAGGTAGTCCTCTGATCAAGTTTGATTAGGTAAGTTAACCCTGTTAGTTTTCATAAATTAAAAACTACTTTTTCATTCAAATTTATTAACGAGATTGTTCCATGATTCTCTTTTTTAAAAAATAAATAAATAGTTGCATCATTGTCAGTTATAAATGTGTTATTATACATGTGCTAGCATGGTGTTTCCAAAACGTATTGCAAGTTTCCAGACTGGCCATTTTTTTCTTAAAAGGGTCAATCTATTAATTTTCATCGACTGTGTCTAGAATAACTGTACTCAAATATTGACATAGTTACAAAATGCAAATAATTATTTTACAACATTACATTATTGAAATACCTTCACAAGGCTCTAACTGTCTATGCAAAAGCTGAGTAGTTCTAGAGTCCAAGCTGAGCCCTTTCCTGAGCAGCCTTTCCTGTCTTAGGCCCTCGTGGCATGGTGTGAAAAACTCGTGCCTCAGCGCTTCCTCTGCACTTATCCTCAGTCTCGGGTTCACCGTCAGGCACTTCTCCACAAGATCGAATAGTGAACTTGGAATAAACTCCAAGAATTCTGGTCTTTTTGTGTTCTGTTTGCACCAATCTCGCAGTCTTGTGGATGTCAAAAATTTCACATCAAAAAGATCCTGTGACAGAACTGAAAGTCTAAATAAAATAGTCAACACAATAGTACACTTGATTAGTTTATAATTCAAGTGATGAATACCACTGGAAATGAAGATTCACGGTTATGTAGCTTTGCCACTTCCCAGAGATCTTCACTGCCCTTTAACTTTGCAATTTCCTTTATGTTCCTGCAAATGACAGCGATAATGTTGGCGAGATGGATAATGAGGATGTAAATCAGAGTGCATTTAGTTTTCTTTGATGAATAGCAAGGATTCTCACTGTTCAGGTTCACCAGTAAATGGTGTTCTTCCAATCATCAAGTAAAGTAAGGTGACCCCAGCAGACCAGATATCAACTTTGTGGCCTTGATGTGGTGACCTGAACAATACCTGCATAACTACTCTATTATATACTAAAAAAGTCTAACAGTGAATTCCCAAGACGAGACGAGCATTAAATGTTGTACAAAACTCAGGATATAAATTTGCCTCGAGGAATCAAAACAAATTGTTAAGGGTAGAAAAAATTATTTCCATTCCTGAATTTAGGTCGCTTCTTGTAATTTCCTTTCAACTCCTAGGCTCTTAGCACAAAGTTAAACAGAAAATCATTGCTTAGAAAAATTGAACAAAATTTCTGTTTGGGTATGACAATGTTGGTAAAGTGGAAAGGGCAAGTGCGTTTTGCAAAATTGTGTCAAGAATGAAAGTGGAGTTCGTTAAACGATTCTGAAGCTGAAATTAGACCAAGTCCAGTTGTGGTACAGGTGAGTGGGTAATAATTTAACTCTACAAACATTGATTTTCTCGACAGCCAAGTTCTTAAGCCAAACATTGGATTCCTGGCTAAAGAAGGATGATAAATTTTTTTGGTGTTACACCAAAACTACACTCCAAGATAAAACAAAATTCAATCAAATGACACATGCAGTAATACTTTTATTTATCTTCACACCCAAGTAGAATTTGACCAACTGAACGTAAGACACTTAAATCTTCTTACCAACACATAAACCTTGAGGTTCGAATCTTCAAGACTTCTGCTACATGATGCAGTTTCCCTTTCCTCTATTTCTCTCCTACCGATTGTAAAATAAATTAAATAAAATTTCAAGGTTCTTAGAAATCCACCACAAAGATGAGAACCTCATTATTAAGGGATGCACAAGCTGAAATCCATCAAGTAGGTGCACACACTTCATTAAATTCACATATAGCTAATGATCACCTGATCTCCATAAAGTTAAAATTTTGTGAATAGAAATTTGCTACTACTCAAGGGCAGTACTTCTTACAAATTCTCACAAGATTAAAACACTATGTGGAAAGTGTTTTCCATTATTAAGGCTAAGTTTGGCATCTTCAAAAAAATTCAAAAAGTCACTATCTTATTTAAGTCACATCATTTTATTTAAGTTACTTCACTTCTCTACCAAATCACTTCAAACTCAACCCATATTTCATAAAAGTCAAAAAGTACACTTATTTAAAACATCCCAAACAACCCCTAAATGTCAAGGTAACATTATAGCACAAGTTGCAACTCTTGCTCCTGCATTCAAGTTTCTCATTCTTCCCAATTTTAATTATTTTGCTGCAACAATTTTATGGAAAGACTGGATTTATAATGAACTGAAGATAACAACAATTCCTCACCTCTGGAGCCCGAAAGCCCTTGGTTCCAACACAAGGGCCTTCTCTCTTTTGCTTCCCATCCCCTATGAACAAGCAATTTGAGCAATCTTAGTAAGAATTTAAAAGATTGTCATATCAAGTCAACCAAGTCAACTAACATAGTCAGCACACCTTTGTTTTTCAGCAGGCCAGCACCAGCAACAGCAATGCCAGCAGAGTGCACTGGCATTGGAGTAAGGTAAACAAGTTTTCTATCTACTTTTCCCGGAAGTGCGACGACCTTCTTTCTCTTAGGAGCTGGAACACTAAGTGCTTCATAATTTGGACCCTGCATTGCTTTATGCACCAGGCTGATCAACTCCTTCCTACCTTGGCATGGAATCGGTTCCCTCAACCTTTCCGCTGAAGGAGTTCTTGTGCTTGTTGCATCCTTAGCTGAAGTTATTCCAGAGCCATCTGCACCTTGGCTTTTCATCACATTCCTATTGCCTAATTCAGAAAAGGCATTTGTTTGGTCTATGGCCTTCTTTTTCAGGTTTTTGGGTGATAAAAGTGGCTTGGACCTTTTTCCTGTCTGCTTGTTGATTGCTTCCGAAGATTTACTGACCAGAAACTTCTGATTGGTAGGAGGAAGAGATTTGGTGTGAGCGGGAGGAACATGATTAAAACTCACATCATGGCCCACCTTTGATTTGTCTGTGAAATTGTGCAAAGTAGTTCCATTAATCCAGTTTTTGAATTATATTCCAGTGAGATCAGATAAACTTCACAGCAGGAGGAAAGAAATATAGGAAACACACTAAAGTAGTCTGTCTTACTAGCAAAACTACAAAAATGTTTTATTTGTTGTTACAAGATTGTGAGCAATCTTAGTAAGAATTTAAAAGATTGTCATATCAAGTCAACCAAGTCAACTAACATAGTCAGCACACCTTTGTTTTTCAGCAGGCCAGCACCAGCAACAGCAATGCCAGCAGAGTGCACTGGCATTGGAGTAAGGTAAACAAGTTTTCTATCTACTTTTCCCGGAAGTGCGACGACCTTCTTTCTCTTAGGAGCTGGAACACTAAGTGCTTCATAATTTGGACCCTGCATTGCTTTATGCACCAGGCTGATCAACTCCTTCCTACCTTGGCATGGAATCGGTTCCCTCAACCTTTCCGCTGAAGGAGTTCTTGTGCTTGTTGCATCCTTAGCTGAAGTTATTCCAGAGCCATCTGCACCTTGGCTTTTCATCACATTCCTATTGCCTAATTCAGAAAAGGCATTTGTTTGGTCTATGGCCTTCTTTTTCAGGTTTTTGGGTGATAAAAGTGGCTTGGACCTTTTTCCTGTCTGCTTGTTGATTGCTTCCGAAGATTTACTGACCAGAAACTTCTGATTGGTAGGAGGAAGAGATTTGGTGTGAGCGGGAGGAACATGATTAAAACTCACATCATGGCCCACCTTTGATTTGTCTGTGAAATTGTGCAAAGTAGTTCCATTAATCCAGTTTTTGAATTATATTCCAGTGAGATCAGATAAACTTCACAGCAGGAGGAAAGAAATATAGGAAACACACTAAAGTAGTCTGTCTTACTAGCAAAACTACAAAAATGTTTTATTTGTTGTTACAAGATTGTGAGCAATCTTAGTAAGAATTTAAAAGATTGTTTTATCAAATCATCCAATTCACCTAACATAGCCAACACACCTTTGTTTTTCAGTAACATCAAATTCTTCAGGTTAAAACTCACAGTTTTTGCATTGAATCTACAAAAAACAAACCCCATTTTTATGGCATAAGGAACCAAATAGAATGGAAGAGTTCTGGCCTTTGGCTCAAGTGCTAATCTGTTCAGGTTCACCAGTAAATGGTGTTCTTCCAATCATCAAGTAAAGTAAGGTGACCCCAGCAGACCAGATATCAACTTTGTGGCCTTGATGTGGTGACCTGAACAATACCTGCATAACTACTCTATTATATACTAAAAAAGTCTAACAGTGAATTCCCAAGACGAGACGAGCATTAAATGTTGTACAAAACTCAGGATATAAATTTGCCTCGAGGAATCAAAACAAATTGTTAAGGGTAGAAAAAATTATTTCCATTCCTGAATTTAGGTCGCTTCTTGTAATTTCCTTTCAACTCCTAGGCTCTTAGCACAAAGTTAAACAGAAAATCATTGCTTAGAAAAATTGAACAAAATTTCTGTTTGGGTATGACAATGTTGGTAAAGTGGAAAGGGCAAGTGCATTTTGCAAAATTGTGTCAAGAATGAAAGTGGAGTTCGTTAAACGATTCTGAAGCTGAAATTAGGCCAAGTCCAGTTGTGGTACAGGTGAGTGGGTAATAATTTAACTCTACAAACATTGATTTTCTCGACAGCCAAGTTCTTAAGCCAAACATTGGATTCCTGGTTAAAGAGAAGGATGATAAATTTTTTAGGTGTTACACCAAAACTACACTCCAAGATAAAACAAAATTCAATCAAATGACACATGCAGTAATACTTTTATTTGTCTTCACACCCAAGTAGGATTTGACCAACTGAACATAAGACACTTGAATCTTCTTACCAACACATAAACCTTGAGGTTCGAATCTTCAAGACTTTTGCTACAGGATGCAGTTTCCCTTTCCTCTATTTCTCTCCTACCGATTGTAAAATAAATTAAATAAAATTTCAAGGTTCTTAGAGAAATCCATCAAGTAGGTGCACACACTTCATTAAATTCACATATAGCTAATGATCACCTGATCTCCATAACGTTAAAATTTTGTGAATAGAAATTTGCTACTATTCAAGGGCGGTACTTCTTACAAATTCTCACAAGATTAAAACACTATGTGGAAAGTGTTTTCCATTATTAAGGCTAAGTTTGACATCTTAAAAAAAAGACAAAAAGTCACTATCTTATTTAAATCGCATCATCTTATTTAAGTTACTTCACTTCTCTACCAAATCACTTCAAACCCAACCCATATTTCATAAAAAGTGTAAAAGTACACTTATTTAGAACATCTCAAACAACCCCTAAATGTCAGGGTAACATTATAGCATAAGTTGCAACTCTTGCTCCTGCATTCAAGTTTCTCATTCTTCCCAATTTCAATTATTTTGCTGCAACAATTTTATGGAAAGACTTGATTTATAATGAACTGAAGATAACAACAATTCCTCACCTCTGGAGCCCGAAAGCCCTTGGTTCCAACACAAGGGCCTTCTCTCTTTTGCTTCCCATCCCCTACGAACAAGCAATTTGAGCAATCTTAGTAAGAATTTAAAAGATTGTCATATCAAGTCAACCAAGTCAACTAACATAGTCAGCACACCTTTGTTTTTCAGCAGGCCAGCACCAGCAACAGCAATGCCAGCAGAGTGCACTGGCATTGGAGTAAGGTAAACAAGTTTTCTATCTACTTTTCCCGGAAGTGCGATGACCCTCTTTCTCTTAGGAGCTGGAACACTAAGTGCTACATAATTTGGACCCTGCATTGCTTTATGCACCAGGTTGATCAGCTCCTTCCTACCTTGGCATGGGATCGGTTCCCTCAACCTTTCTGCTGAAGGAGTTCTTGTGCTTGTTGCATCCTTAGCTGAAGTTATCCCAGAGCCATCTGCACCTTGGCTTTTCATCACATTCCTATTGCCTAATTCAGAAAAGGCATTTGTTTGGTCTATGGCCTTCTTTTTCAGGTTTTTGGGTGATAAAAGTGGCTTGGACCTTTTTCCTGTCTGCTTGTTGATTGCTTCCAAAGATTTACTGACCAGAAACTTCTGATTGGTAGGAGGAAGAGATTTGGTGTGAGTGGGAGGAACATGATTAAAACTCACATCATGGCCCACCTTTGATTTGTCTGTGAAATTGTGCAAAGTAGTTCCATTAATCCAGTTTTTGAATTATATTCCAGTGAGATCAGATAAACTTCACAGCAGGAGGAAAGAAATATAGGAAACACACTAAAGTAGTCTGTCTTACTAGCAAAACTACAAAAATGTTTTATTTGTTGTTACAAGATTGTGAGCAATCTTAGTAAGAATTTAAAAGATTGTTTTATCAAATCATCCAATTCACCTAACATAGCCAACACACCTTTGTTTTTCAGTAACACCAAATTCTTCAGGTTAAAACTTGCAGTTTTTTCATTGAATCTAAAAAAACAAACCCCATTTTTATGACATAAGGAACCAAATAGAAATGGAAGAGTTCTGGCCTTTTGGCTCAAGTGCTAATGTGGTAATGTGATGGTCGGGCTTGGACTAGATCTTAGGTCATTTATTGCCTAGCAAATAATAGAAAAATAAAGAAGCAACAGCTTACCAATAGCTCCATACTTCTGATGCAGATCCTATGTAGAAAAAGGTAAAGAAAAAAGTTATTAAAATAAGAAATTTCTGGAACAATTTGAATGCCAAAGTAAAAATCCCAAGACAAGTAGTATTTCTCACCATAGCAAGGTTAAAATCAATGAGATATCCTTTATTGACCTTACGAGAGAAAAGGAAGTTGCCAGGTTTAACATCTCTATGAACTATTCCCTGAAGTGAAAAAAGAAACACAAAGCTCCATTAGCTCTGGAGAAACAGTAACACCAAATTCTTCAGGTTAAAACTCGCAGTTTTTTCATTGAATCTAAAAAAACAAACCCCATTTTTATGACATAAGGAACCAAATAGAAATGGAAGAGTTCTGGCCTTTGGCTCAAGTGCTAATGTGGTAATGTGATGGTCGGGCTTGGACTAGATCTTAGGTCATTTATTGCCTAGCAAATAATAGAAAAATAAAGAAGCAACAGCTTACCAATAGCTCCATACTTCTGATGCAGATCCTATGTAGAAAAAGGTAAAGAAAAAAGTTATTAAAATAAGAAATTTCTGGAACAATTTGAATGCCAAAGTAAAAATCCCAAGACAAGTAGTATCACTCACCATAGCAAGGTTAAAATCAATGAGATATCCTTTATTGACCTTACAAGAGAAAAGGAAGTTGCCAGGTTTAACATCTCGATGAACTATTCCCTGAAGTGAAAAAAGAAACACAAAGCTCCATTAGCTCTGGAGAAATCATAACCACCCAAGTAGAACATATTTATCGGTTAGTGTAGTATCCCACCTGCTTATGTAAACCTGCAAGTGCTCTGAACATACAATAGCCATACCACTGGAGCTGGAAAACATCTATCTCTCTCTTCAAGACCTAAACATTTAAAATAAAAACTGAAGTCAGAGGAAGAATAGACAAAAAAACAGCCTCTAAAGTTCCATATAGTTACCTCGGGTCTGTCATGATGAACATGCTCTAAAACAAGGCACTCAGAATTCCCACTCTTGAAAGAGCCTTCATATTTTATGACAAAGTTCTTACCCCTGAATTAGAAGCATCAGTTTCATATTGAATATCAACTTTTGACTTAAGAATATAAGTTATAACAACTGATCCTTGAGTGACCTTTTTCAGTATCCTTACCCAAATCGCTCCAACATCTTCAGTTCATTATGAACATGATGTCTGTTAGCATTTTCATGAGGACCTGCAAAACCAAAAAATTCCATTTCACATTAGTAAGCAACTCCATCTTAATACATTTTATTTTGCAACCAAATCAGCAACATGGTTCAACTATTTTGCAGTAATTATGTAAACATGATATGAATTCATGAAATGCACTTACAGAAACCACTGTTATTTAAATCATGCCATCCACAATTTGAAATCCTGATGAAATCAAACATTGGACAACATGAGCCGACTAGTAGTCGTAGCTCCATATACAGAGGAATATTATTCGTTCACTCTTTTCAGATTTAGGACCTATGTGCTGTGACTATTTAAGATAAAAACAAGCAAAATGCACTACTCTCTTTAACATGTGTCGTTTTGATATAGAAAAAAAGGGTTTAGAAAGAAGAAAAAAAAATATAGAATATTATCTAGAACTTTACATCCATGTGTATCCTTCCCGTTTGGAAACCAACAAAGTTGTTTCCACAGTGATTCATACAGAGTGTTCATCCTTAAGATTCCAAGTGTTCATCTCTTTTTATATGAAGTTTCAGCAATCAAAGCTATCAAATGAAGCATAATAATATTCATTATTAAACTATAAAACATTGCATTGGACCCATATATTTGAATTTAAATAAACCATTTAGATAAGGGAGCATTTTCCTACAAGATTGATTGAAAAAGCCTTGGATTGGACCCATATATATGAATCTCCTTCTGTACAATAATCTAGTAAAATATAGTCCTTTTCCATGAGCAAACAAAAAACAACTATTGCCGCCCATTGCTTGATTGTCCTGGCCTCGTATTCAAATTTCATAAAACAAATAGCATAAAGGATGAAAATACTCCCCCATACATTTAATAGCAAATGTTACTCCATCATTCTTTCTCTGTGCCTTGTAAACTGTTCCGTAACCACCTGCAAATTTGGGTGTTCAAAGGTGATGAATGAATTCAGACCGTAACAAATGGGCTGTCAAGGCTGCAGCTGGAAACCAACAGAAAATCAATATTCAATACCTGAACCTTCTTCCTCCTCTATGGTAAAGGACTCAAAATTAGGTAGTGGTTTTGGCTCCTGCTGATTCTACAAAGAAACCATCAAGAGCTTTAAATAATTACTAATCCAGATCATCCATGACAACATAAACTAGTCTTAATCAAGCTGAAACTTCTGAAGCTTACGTTGAGGTCCACGGCAATAGGCTTGTCACAATTCTGCTTTAACTTCTGCTTCACAGAGATTGAATTTCTATCTCTTGTACATTGAAGCTGCTCCATACGAGACCCAACAGCCTTACTATTGACCAATGCCTTGAAGAGACCTTGTTGTTTAGCATTTAGTGCATCCTTCTGAGAGGTCTTTGATTTGGCAGAGGATTTCATCAGTTGCTTCTGACAAAGAGTGGCATCAGCTGCTAAAAGAAGGGCCCTACTCTCCACATGTGTAGTTGTTCTCTCTCCATCCCGACGTGGATTCATATCAATGCACCTTACCACATTCATCCTTTTGGTATCATGTGACATAACAGTCTGAGCGGTATTGACTGCTGGGACCATGAATCCAATTCCACTTTCATGGCAGAAAGAATCAATTAATGGTTCTTTCTCTTTGCTATCTACAACCATTTTGTCTTCAATTGTTCTAACCCTTCTAACTTTACAAGCATGACCAACATTCTCCATCTCCACTGGTGGAATTATGCTGTGATCTTCTACTTCTGGGCATGAAGTGGCGTCAAAACTTGTTCTACTTTTCAAGTCTACCTCACCCATCCTAGCTTCTCTCCACACAACCGAATTTTCTATTATAGTAGTTAGAAGAGATCCTTCTGGATAAGGCCTACATGCCTTTATTTCTTCTACTGTTGGATGAGGAATTTGAGGAAATTTTCCAAAATTGAGAAAGCTATGCTGACATTCTGGTGTATATACATATCGATGCTCCTTCATATGCTCAAAGATACTAGTTTCCTTGCTATTTCCATGTTCAGTATTTTTCAATCCATAGCTTAACAGTCCAGCATTGAGATGAACAGAGAAGGGTGCCTTCCCAATCACCCTACTCAAATTGTCCGATTCAAGTTTCATAATTGAAATATCATTTGGCTGCACTTCCATTCTTCTGGTCATATAATCAAAATATACCTGTATCATTGATAAGTTTGAGCAACCATTGAAAACAGTAATTTGCTAGGTAGCACAAAATTATAGAACAAGAATGCTAATCTGGAGGAGGATCAGCATAAACCCACTATTCTCCTGATGCATTTTGTAGTCAAAAGAAACAAAACATTCAATAATAATTCTTTAAGTTGAATCCTTTATAATGCCTATTTGGGGAAGTTTACCTTTTAGCCAAAAAATCACTATAAAGTCAACTCTTCTCTCTATTTTTTTGCACACATTTTTCATAAACAACCACTAAAAAAGCCAATTCCCAAAACAACCCTTACTTTTTCACCCACAATAATGCATTATGATAGGTGTCAACTTTTGATTTACTACACACCCAATCATATAAAGGGGGTGTTTGTTGGAGCTTTTTAGAGCCAACTTCTGGCTTCTAGCTTTTGAAAAGCTATTTTGGTCTATTTGATTAAATTTATTTCAAATAACTTCTGATTCTAACAACTTATTTTAAGTCAAAAAAACTGATTCTGAAAAGCTATTCACCCCTTACTTCTGATTATCAGCTTCTGCTGTGAACATGTTAATTCATGATTATACTCTTAGATTTTTTTTTTATTATTTTTTAAAAAATAGAAAATGACCCAAATGGATTATAGAATATTATTATTATTTTTTATGAGAAATGTAGATAAATAGTGAATAACAAAAATTAAAAATTAATTGAAAAAGCTACTTCACAGATTATTTAACAAACACTACTCAGCAACTTGAATTTATAACAGCTACACCAAACAAATTAACAACTTCTGATTAAAATCATAATCTATAATTTGTTTTAACAGCTACACCAAACATGACCAAAGCACAACTCCCTTGCCACATGGATGAATTTGTGGATCCAAAATTGTGGATCTCTAGCATTTTTTTTACTTTTTTTAATTCAAATAAGTTGATAAATTACATACTCCAAATCACATGAATCAAAACCAAACTAGACCTGAAGATAAACCCAACAATGAGAGCAAATCGTAGTAACTCAACAACAAAATTAAATTTAAAAATTACCTTAGTATAATCACTTTGATTTCCACCAGACGAAAGCAACAGAATTTGATTTTCTTCATTTTCTGCAAATCATCACCATGATTACCAACACAACAAAAACCTCATTACAAATTAAAGCATAAAGAGAATTACCATCCACAGAACGCAAAACTGCTCTCTTTTTCGAAAGTGGTGGAGATTCAAACTCTAAACTCATTCTCTTCCTTCTCCTGTAATACGTTCTTACAAAACCTCCCCAAACTCTCTCCCGTCCGAAATCTCGGAGCTCAATTCGGGGCACAAACGCCCCAATCACATTCAAATTCGACGCAAACTTTCCGAAAGCAACGAACGCAACCAGCGAAGGCGTAACGAACCTGTTCGAGGTCAAGAAGAGCGGCGAATTGGGGATCGAACAGAGGTGCTCGACGAAATCAGGCGGTGCACGGAACAAGGCGCATCGGGAGGCGAGTTCAAGGGGACGAGCAGGGCGGCCGAGTGGTAGTAAAAGGGAGAGGAGGTGCCAAGCTTTGTGTAGTTCGGTGTTGATGATTGAGACAGTGTTTGTCAGTGTAGCGAGGCTTGAATTTGTGAGAGGAGCTTCCATGGCGGTCCGAATCTGGAGAGAGTGTGGTTGTTTGTTTGTGTGTGTTAGGGTTTGCGAGTGGTGAAGATGGAGGAGGGTAGAGAGGGAGAGAGTTGGTGGTGGATTTTTAACATGGTGAATTTGATGGATTTGGGTGATGATGAATGTGGGAGATTTTGCAGATGTGAGTGAAAATGTGGAGAGAGAGAGAGAGAGAGAGTGAGTTTTAGAGAGAGAGGCTCTAGATCTAGGGTTTTGAGAGAAAAAGATGTGAAAAAGTGATGTAGAAAGGTGCTGCTGCTTGAAATTTTTTTTGGGTAAATTATCTGCACCACCTTTGAAATTTAATTAAACTAGCATATCACTCGTATTATGTACGGATTATATTTATAATTATTTATATATGTGTGATTTTTAAATATTTTTTTAAATTTTAAATATCTTTTTTTTTTCTTTTTTTATATTATATTAAAGTTTAATATTTTGATAATAATTATATGTGTTGAACTTTTTAAAGAATTACATGTCTTTTTTTTTATTATATTATATTAAAGTTTAATATTTTGATAATAATCATATGTGTTGGATTTTTTAAGAAATTTTTTTTATACTTGCTCTTAATACATTAAAGTGTTATTATGATAGATAATAATCATATGTGTTAGAACTTTTCAAGGAATTCATATGTGTTGGATTTCAAAGAATTTTTTTTATACTTGTTCTTAATGCATTAAAGTGTTATTATGAGGGTAAGACTTGGGAGTTGGGAGAAGTTAATAAATGCTAAGATTTTTTTTTTTAAATCAAAAAATTAGGAAATTTAGATTGAGAAATTGGAGCTCCCACAAGGGTTGGAGTTAAAAACCCCCCTTTTGCTTAATATATAGTATAGATTGCAGATTTTCTTGAGGTTTTAGAAATTATATTCTGTCCCTTGAAGTTTATATTTGCTTAACAATTTGACGGGATTTTTCCCAAACTAAGCCTACCCACTAAGTTTTTTCCCAAACTAGGTCTCGTTTGGGAACAGGCTAATTTAGTAACTTTTTGGCTATTTTGCTAAAATATGAGCTAAAAAAAACTAGTATGTTTGGGATGACTTTTTGACTTTTCACAAAAAGATGTGCAAAAAGTAGAGAGAAAATAGAATCTTTGACTTTTTTTTATGGATTGTTGGCTTTTTGGCTAATTTAGTAACTTTTTGACTTTTTAGCTAAAAAAGAGGGTTCCTAAACGAGGCATGAGTCTAGTTTGGTTGAAATTCTCAAAATAAACTGAAACGTGTTTACAAAACACGCTTTCAACATGTTTCTGATCCAGGCGGACAAAATGAATAAAATTGTAAAAGCGTGATTACGAAACACACTTTTTATTAAAAAAACGCTATTGCTATTAGCGTTTTTAAGCTTAAATAATAGCGCAACGTTTTCAATAAAAAAAAAAACAAAAAACAAAACCACATCACACACACACACCCTTCTCTCTCTCTCTCTCCCTCTCTCTCTCACACACACACTCACATCAAACATATATAAGTTTTAATATATATAAATTTTATAAAATGATTACTTTTTTACTTTATTTCTTAAAATTTATTTATTTTTATTTAGGTAAATTACACTGACACCCCCTGAGATTTATGTTTATGACAGTTCCCCCTCACATTTGAAAAAAAAAATTCAATTGAAAAAAAAATAAAATTAATTGGAAAAAAGTTATTTGAAAAAAAAATTAATTGAAAAAAAAATTTGTTAGTAAAATTTTT